TTTCGCGATTATCTCGGTTTCTAAGGGTCCAATGATTTTAATATCTATTATAAAAACTGTAGAATATAAAATTTACGACAACTTTTGTTCTAAACATTTTTTAGCGCCTGCCGCAAAGAAATCAGTTTCGTCTGGAAAGACAGTGCAGTAGATATTTTCTATAAATTTGATTCCTATTTGATTTGTATGGTGCCTTATGTCTTATTTTGTTTTGATTAGAATTGAGAATAAGTGAAAAAACTTTCCGAGGCGTGTTTTTTTACAACTTTTAGATCAAAATTTGGGTTATTTTGGGTCAGTCCAAAAAAATGTGCGCGCCTCTGGGGCTTTCCCTCTGAGTGTGTGCACCGCCAACTTTTCTTCTCACCAGCCGCCACTGTTACTACAGTTAGTTATATGACCTAACTTGAAAATAGCGGCAACAGTTCTTATTCAGATATCGCCATCCAGATTTTATCCCAAATTTATCTCCTGCAGAAGCATGCATGGTTCATGCAAATCATGTCAATTGAGTACTTACCCCGTCCATCGATTTTCATTTTGGGAACGGTGTGTTTGATGTTTAGAAGGTATTCCCCTGTAATTAACTTGCCGACCTTAAATGCTACTTTTAACATAAAGCAACCCTTACTAACGTGGACGATGGCTCCATTTTTAAACAACAGTAAAAAAAATAAACTACCTACCCTTTTTTTTAATTACTTTATTCATTTAGGGATTATGTAAGGCAAATTCGCATATTTGGCCCTTTTTTCACTGTTTTCAACAAATAAATTGCATACCAAGTTTACCTAATCATGTATATTATTTTTATTTAGTAGGTAATAATTTATGTAGGTAAGTATTTATAGAAAAAATCGCAGGAACAGCGCACTGGAAGGAAAAAAATAATGGCTATTTCATAAATTATGTAAATTAGTCCAATTTCTAATTATTAAATAAAAATTACGGAATGTTTATGCTGTGTCCAGTCAATAATAAATAATTAACGCTGTGCGTAACAAACTATAATTATTTTTTTGATATCATATTGACTACCTTTTTTTCTAGTGCAAGAATAATGATGCTGAATGATCATTATATACCTAGGTACCTATTTTATTCATACCTATCAATTTTATAAGACATTAAAAGAATCTATGTATTTAAGCGATGGAAAATTTTCGAAATTAAAATAGCTGGAAAATTGCTTGAAATTGTTTTAAAACGTCCATTTTCGACGTCTATGACGTTGGAGGTTGTGTCATTTGCACGTGCTCAGTTACTTTACTGACGTTTTTAGAACGTTTCTCTGCTAGTGAAAGAATTGTCAAAAATTTGAGTTAAAATTATTTAAATATTTATATAGAATGCACATTATGTTTTTTAATTAGTTTGTAATAACTGGATCGGATCTACTCCGAATTAGTAATTTTTCTAATTATTATTTATCTTCATAAATTATTATTGTTTAGGTAATCAGGAATTAACAAATTAACTCATAAATATTCCAGGTATATGACAGTTTTTCGCTAACTGGAAAGGGGCGGAAGTTTATTGTTGCCAGAAAAATTTAAATCTCTCTCAAAAACGCGGATAAAGTCTAAGTGCGCGTTCACATTGACACCGCTCGAGCGGTGAGCGTTGCGCGATGCCACTGTAGCGATGCCCAAAAATAATTTTAATATTATATTTCAAGTGAACATGTTAACACCGCGGGACGCGCCGCTCCAGTGTGACTATATTCATTTGAAATATAATGGTAAAATTATTTTTGGGCATCGCTACAGCGGCATCGCGCAACGCTCACCGCTCGAGCGGTGTCAATATGAACGCGCACTAAGAATATAAACCGTAACCAGCACCAAGTAAACCTGGTAGAATCTTTAGCAAAAAAAAAAACTTTTTCAAGCGTGTGTGCAGGTCTTTCTGAATGGGAGAACATTCTTGTCGAGGAGGATCCGCTAAATGAGTAACACCGATTTGTTAGTTCCTTGGTTGACAAAGCTTTTCCTCTGCCCCCTTTAAAAAGAAAAACTAATAAAAAATATTGGATGTCCAAGGGCTTAAAAATTTCGGCTAACAATTTGAGATCACTCAATTGTATTAGAATCTTATTAGTACAATGAGTATTGCTAGATTTATAGAAAACTAAATAGCAGCGGAACAGGCTTTTATTCACAACGACTGGAAAATCCTACAAATAAATCAAAAGAGACATGGCAAATGGTCCGTGACGTGAAGTCACAGGAAAGTCAGGTGCTTTTCAGCAGCAATTTGATAATTGAGCCGGATGACTTGAATAAATTCTACTGCACAGTTGCAGATACAACCAACACCATACAGTCTGTCACAGATCCTCTAAGTTATCCAAATCATCTTAAAGGGGGTGTAACCCTAAAAAACGACTTAAGCTACTTGAATCAAGAAAAAAATTCTAAGATCTCTCGTGAAAACCGCAGTCCTATAGATATTCAAAATAAAAATAGTCTCTGAGAAAATTCCTCGTGAAGATAAATTATGCAGGAACTTGTGATGTCACAACCACCGAAATCGCAGTATTCTGTCCGTTCAGTCGTCAGTGAACCGTATCCTATACTTTGAGTGGTTGCAATTCGCTCTAGGAGATAATTGTCTTTTGTTTTGGAAAGTTCTTACACGTGTTGATACTGTCCCTGAACATCCAGTGTGACGTCACAAACACCTAGTTGTAACTTTGAACTGCCCTAACTCGAAAATGTACCATTAGCAAGATGCGGTTTAAATATTTATTCTTAGATTTGTTTTGCACTAAAACTTCAATTTTTGGGTCACACCCCCTTCAATTTTCCTGAATCATTTATCTTCCAGCCAACCGATGCTCATGAAATCGGAAGTGTTCTTAAATAGGGTCCTCTTTGTGTCATAACACAGTAGCAGCAAACATTCCAGAGATATGCAGGTGAAATATCCTTGATGTAGGTATAACAAAAATAGGATTGGACCCAGTACAGATCCTTGAGGAACTTCGTGCTTGATAGAATGATTCGAAGAGTACTTACAATTTGCTGAGACGCACTGGCTTCGGGAGGAAGAGATAAGATTCGAACCACTTCAGAACCACACCCCTGAATCCAAGTCGCATAACACCGCCGCAGTAGCTCGGCCATTGTTGTAGCGCATAAAAAGCTATTCCAAAACACGAAGCATGGCATCATAGGTATTTTTGCTGGGAAGAAAACCAAATGTAGAGGAACTAAACAAACACAGAATGTTTACTTGTTTAGAGAGAAAATCCAGCATTCGCCCTTAAACCAGTTTTTCTATGACTTTCGCTATAGTTGAAAGTACGATAATTTGAGGGGTTTTTTGTATCGCCACTCTTATGTAATGGTACAACCAGAGCCCTTTTCAGCCTAGAGGGAAACGTGCCGTTAGAGAATGACTCGTTTATAGCCTCTGCTAAACAGTTATTGCCGGACCTGGATGTTCCTTGAGTATCTTCGTGGGTATTCGGTCCGAGCCAGATGCATTTTGGTTTTGGATGGATTAAAGAAATTAGAATTACGTGAATTAACTCGATTCACTGCAAATGGCATTTGTGTTAGAATATCAGGACTGTCAATATTACGCTTAAGCAACTTAAACACCGTACAAAGTATGATTCTAATTCTTCGCTTATTCAGAGACAGTCTACGAAAGATGCCAAGGAGGTATTCACCATCACACCCCCGAGGAGGATAGACTCCATATGCCCGATAATAAACGAACTTCAGAAATTTCCTTTGCACCCTTTCGGCATATGTTGTCCATAAGTCATATTGCGGTGACCAGATAATGCATCCATACTCCACAATTGTTGAGTTGCTGGCTTCTAGGTTTAGTGTTTAAATTTATTTAAGTTAAGGTTAGCTTTGTCAATAATATTTTTGTATTCTTGGACAATAGAGCATATTTTACTACTACTACTACTACGAGGCTTTAGACTCTCCTAGATCCGCTCTATATTAATCCGCATTTTTTTAAAATTCAGTCTATGATTGTCATTGACAATATCGAGTCGAGCCTTATAGATCCTGGAGTATTATCAATAGTAATATAACAAGTGCAATGGAAATTACTGATAATTTTTGGGAAATTTGCTCGAATGCAATTATTATGATTATTCATAAATCAAAAAATTAAATTTTTTGTCAAAAAATGTCAAAACACCAGTTTTCGCACCAGTTACTATGCAATTATCTGATAATTTGCACTAGTGCAAATTATCGCATAATTCCAATCTGATTGGTTCAAATCAACAATCAAAACATGTCAGTTTATTGTTGGAATACCAGTTTTGACAGATGTATGAAATTCTCTCCCTTAATTTTGCGCTCTAGTCGCCATTAAGATTTTTTAAACAATTTACACCATAAAGTTTTCACCCCTGAACTGAACAGAAGAGACAGAGCAGCCGTTGGTCTGCTCACTGGACATTGCCTGGTGAAATATCACCTAAAGACACTAGACAAATCAGACAATAATGTCCACTGCAGATCTTGCGAACAAGCAACAAAAACTACAGGACATTTGATCTGTGAATGCCCTACTCACTTCCACAAAAGGCTGAAATAACTTGAAGGGGAACAGCTAAAACCCCAAGAGGTGAACACTTTACCACCCAGGAACGTGGCCTCCTTTGGGAAAAGTCTACAGATCTTGGACACCAACTAGAAGCAGAGTCACACACAAAATATGTATCTAGAAAGGTTATAGCAGTGCTTGAGCGGCTGGAACAAGCTGTAACGACTTCAAATGCAATCTACAATCTACCCCTGAACTAGCCCAACATTACATCAATGTTTTTTTTAGATGTTTATTTAAATTGTGCTTTGAGCTATGCAACAAGATTTTATGCAAGCTAATACTCGAAATACTACATTCCCAATTAGTCAAACCAGAAAAAGTTCAACGGTACCACACTCGGTATACTAACAGTCTACTTGTTTTTGATGTACAAGCAAAAAATCCCGCTTTTGCTGCGGATGTAGAATCTAGTTTGTCGATGCAATACCTATACGTTCGTTGACCGGCAGCACTTGAAGGTGAAAGTCGCAAAGTACCCCGTTGCACCAGACACCAACGATTCTTTCTTCAAAAGTCATGAAGGTCGACGATTTTCGGTAATACGTCAATGAATTCTCCAACTGGTTCTTTTGAGTAGAGGTTTCTCGCTTGTTGGTACTACTGGCTTTCTGGGTTTTCAGCTTGGGTATTCTGCTGGTGGTGTGCATAACGATTTTATTGTGTTAGGTGGATGCGTGGTTACAAATAGTGATTAGATGAGGTAAGTTTGATAAGTGGTTTTTTGGTTTTTTACAATTGAAGTTTTTCTTCGCGCAACAGCTCGGACTAAAAACATCGACGTTTGTAAGAAAAACTTAAATTGTTTAGTGTAGTTTTTCTTTCAAAAGTAATATCTGGATAATTTGTGATTCAAGAAATAAACTGGTATTATTACAGGAAGGTAGGTATTCTAAAATACCTAATAACCGGGATTTGGTATATTATACCTGAACATGAGTTTTATCAATTAATCAGGTTTATCCTAACTTAAAAATTTGGCAATGTGGCAAAATAAAATGTGAGGGTTTTCCATGAAACTCGTTAATATGTTTGTTTATTCTTAATTTTCAAAATCTTCCAATTCGGTAAATGAATATTATTTTTCTTTTTAGTCTTACCTACTTTGGACCGCACGTAACAATTTTCTTTGAAATGTTTCTGGAAATAAACCTTATCATTGCTATAGTTGTTAAGAGTACCTATCTGTAAGACTTTATTAGAATATAATGTAGTTTTGCGTGACCATAAAAGCCTGGAAAAGCAGTTGTTTCATGATCATTTCTTCCCAATTTCGTGCTTTCAGTAGCTCCAGCGGTAAATCTTAGGCTTAGGACTTGTAGTACATTGGACTACTAGAAATTTAATTCAGTATAAGTATGAATGATGTCCCACAAACATCTATACATGCAACGGGAAATATTGAGATTTGTCCAAAATGGTCAAATTTACATTACAAAACTACCTAGAAAAAATGCTTTCATCTTAGAAATGATAAATATTTCTAAGACGAAGATGTTACAACATTATTAACATTAAAAACATACACACTGCACTACACTTTCCTCGCGATTTTCATCAAATAGAACATGATTTTGCAACTGAAAACTGGGCGGGTATTCCTTTGGTGGTTCCAAGACTATATCTGTTTTGGATCGATCCGCTCGAGGTATTTTTACTTGTTTGTGCTCCTTGAAGAAGGAATAATAATAATATGGTTTATTCAAGTATAAGCAAAATTTCGGATTGATAATACTTTCATTGTTTTTTGAGATTGACATTCCTCTATTTTGCCAACTATAGGTAATAGAAACGCTGCCAAGAAAAAGTTTTCAAAAAATGCTTCATTCGAGTCATAATTTTTATGTGTTTTTATGCATTCTTGTGTATGTTTTTACGTGTTTCTGCACCTCCTTCTATAGGAAGACCGCCTATAGCTCCAGATTTGGCATCAGATCTAAAAGTCGCATTTGCGTATCCTGAACACAAAAAATGACAACTTTATAGTGGCAATTACTTATAATTTTTTTAAAGATGTTTACTATTTCGTTTCAAAATGATATCCTTTTTTGATCTTTTCAATGTTTTCACAAGGATTCAAATTTATAGAAATAAATAAGAAGCAATTTTTCAATTTTTTGTTGCGAAAACATGGAAATTTCCCAATTAAATAGCTAAGTAGATACCTATTACAGTTTATTTATGTGCGCGCTTGAGTCTACATTATTACTTGTTAGGTAATTAAGTGAACAGGACTCTACTGATTTTTTTTTCTTCAAATTAATGTAATTAAAACCATTTGTTTCGACTTTTTTTTGCAGCATTACACGGTTATTGAATTACGTAGGTACTTTATCAGTGTGTCCGTCAGAAATCGAGTGTAGGTATTGTATTATTACTATTGGTATCTCGCTTGTATCTTGTATATTATAGACTGGAAGCTTGGAAAGCTAAAACTGGAAGACTTTTACTCTGGAAAAGTATTGAAGAATTTGTTGTTTTTACAAAATCCATTTTCAAAATTGATTATAATAACTGTAGCAAGAATTTCTCAGTGCTACCATAACATTGGGCGGTGGCGCCAAATATTTGAAAAATATTATGAAATTTGTGAAACTACTTAGATTAAAATTAAAATACATAAGTCGGTATCTTGGTGGATCCGTTCCAACTACAGACGGATTACGGATTCGTAATGAAGACTAGGTATCGGTAGGCCAAGATTAGACTCAAATTTTATGGTAATGATGGCAGTGATGGCACACCTGGATCCGCCTTATTGGTGCAATATTTTTGGCACTGAACGACACAGGAATCTCTCGGAAATTTTTACTCAAAGATAGTGTTCAGATACGCCAACATATTCTACGTAAATTTTTTTTATTGCTAAATAAATTTCCACTCAAGAGCTATGGCATAGAGCCAAACCTAGGACTATCAGCCATATTGCATATGGCCAGAATTATGTAACTTTATAGTTGTGAACACTTTATTTGTCGATGTGCGATGTTAATATAATACTTGATTGTGAATATGTTAGATGTCGAATGAAGTCCTAGTTGGTACCAGGATTGAATCCCTTCCCGTAATTCAGTTTTATGCACAGTCCCTTGGGTCCCGTGATACCTACGTTCGAAATATGTCATAACAAGAAAAGTGTTCACAACCATGATATTATATGATTTTGACCCTAACATTGACGATTGAGTGAACAAAAGTTTTCTCTGCGACAAAAATCGATTACCAAAATAAGCATAAACATGTATTTCAAATAAAATAATTCGATTTAATGGATTATCAATGATAGCCCGACGTTCATTAGCATATTGTCCATAAATATTTCATTAATAAAAGAAAGGCATAAAGCTCATTAAGGCTAGATCCTCTTATTCTAATATACCAACATAAAATTGTCTCGTCATTCGCATCACAATTTTCAGCTAATAGCCATTGATAATGACCTCGGTTTTAGTCGTTAAGCCAAGAAACCAGTTATATAATAAATATTTACGCATACACGCACTAAAAGTGAAGAACTTCGCGTGGTTCTTGCTAACGTATGGCCAGTAGGCTAATTTATGTACAAAAATTTCATCACCTAGTACCTACTGTGAAATACCTACCTACCTACTCTTTATTATTGGTGAATACTTTTCTCTTTTTTATAATATAAATAATTTTGTTTCAATTTCTAGGATGAATGTACTGGGGTTTGATCTTTGTTTCATCCTGCAAGCTCTCATAGCGGTCGTAGTTGTTGGCTTTTTGACCTTAGTATCACTTATTAAGTTCTATAACAAAGTCACTTGCAGACATTTAGGGTAATATTTAGGTAGAATTGAATATTCATCGACACTAAAAATATTTTAATCTTCAGGAAAAACGTCAAAATGGATGGAAAAACTGTGATTGTTACGGGACCTACTAGTGGTATCGGTAAAGAAACAGTCAAGGAATTATCGAAAAGGGGCGCCAGAGTAATTTTGGCATGTAGAAATGTGGAAAATGGGAGAAAAGTTCGAGGTAAGGATTATTAAGTATTTCTTTAAAATCTATTTGTTTTATTTATATAAATCCTTGATAGCAAGTTTGGGAAGAACACACTAAATTTCATAAGGTACCTACATATATCAAAACTAATTAAATCTTCTAGATGAAATCGCCGAGTCTACCAAAAACCAGAATCTCCTTGTCAAAAAGCTTGATTTGTCATCTCAAAAATCAATCAGAGAGTTTGCAGAAGACATTTTAAAAACCGAACAACGCCTGGATGTCTTAGTCCATAACGCTGGAACAGCTGAAAATAAAATCGTTCAAACTGAAGATGGTTTGGAACTTACCATGGCTACGAACCATTTTGGACCGTTTTTACTCACCCATTTACTTATTGGTAAGTCATTCGTTAGGTACCTACTTACGATAATTTAGTACTTATGTGATCTTGTGTAAGGGATGAATATTTTTTGAAAAAGCGTTTTTGCCACCGTTTTGGTTTACATTGAACCATCATCGTTAGGAGGGCACTGAAAATGCTATACTTAATTCGAACGGCTTAAGTTTTTTTCCGCTTTTTCGTTTCTCTTTTCCAATATACAGGATGCTCGGTGTTTCTTTGATAAACCTATTTTACAAGTATGTAACTAAAACTGTATAATGAATTTCCAAACCTAAACTATTCTGATTTGTAAATTGTTTTTGTATTTTTTAATACGCGCCACAGCATTATTTGTGTGCATTTTGATCTTCCTTGTATGAAGACTAATACTGATGCAGAACATACCTACATATATTTGTTTAATTTACAGATTTACTTAAAAGATCCGCTCCATCACGTGTGGTCGTGGTAGCATCATCACTCTATCGACTAGCCTCACTAGATCTGAACAACCTAAATCCAAGTAGCTCGTGGTTTCCACCATGGATTTACTACCCATCAAAATATGCCAATATTTCATTCACGCTGGAACTAGCCAAAAGATTAGAAGGTACCGGAGTCACCGCCAATTGCTTACATCCTGGATTAGTTGATAGCGGTATTTGGAGAAACGTACCAGTACCACTAAATTGGCCATTGAAACTTATTACAAAATGTTTCTTTAAAACTCCAGAACAAGGTTGTCAGACGACAGTTTTCTTAACATGCTCTGAAGAAGTCAGGAACGTTAGTGGAAAGTACTTTGAAGATTCAAGAGAGCACTCGCTAACCCGTGGAGCATCTGATATGTCGAAAGCAAAGAAACTGTGGGAGGTTACTGAGGACATTGTGAAACTAAAGCCAGCTGATCCAAAGATTTAAGTTACGTGGGGTTTCAATATTAGCTTCCATTACTTTATTCATCTATTGTAGGTTTTAAAATAAGATTTATGCTTATCAAAACTTGTTAGTTATTTTTTATATTTAATAGAAAAATAGGTACTTGATATTATTTTGTTGCTTTCAATCTCTCAGGCTCTAAATGGTCACACAAATTGGATTTTTCAGGATAATTTCAATGAAATTTTAGAATTTTTTTTCAGATTGAATTAAAAGCTCAACAAAACCAGCAAAATGCACTTTCTGAAAAGGGCGTTTCTTAATTAACCCAATTGTGATGTACTTAGGTACTGCAAACCTGTGGAGTGAACATTGGAGAAACTGTGTGTGGTATTATTTTCGCGTATGGAATCGGTCGTCGTAATGATGCAAGTTAAATGTCACACAAAATAGGTTTTCGAATAATTCTGTGGTTTTAAAGGTTCTTGAAAACTTCAGATATGCTGGTCACATTCTGTTTTGTGTACACATCAGTTAACACAACCAAAATTCTCCTTGCAAGCATCCACAATCCTCAAAAGGGATTAGAGTAAAAAAAATAAAACAAAATTTTATGTTTCAATAATATGTATTATTTTTTTATGTTTTATTTTTTTAATGAATTATCATAACATAGTGAGAACGAGACATATCTTAATTCTTTTCGACAAAGAGAGAGAAAATAAATCTTATACTACTACATTTATACTAATAAATCTCTACAACTTTCTATTTTACCTTTAAAATTAATCCATTTTAAATGGTTGCATAACTCCTAGAAATATTTTCACCTTGACATGAATCTCAATATTTAGAGTTGCCCAGTGGTTGAATAGAACACTGTATTATTTGTGACTAGCAGAGATTCTTTTTTAATAAATAATGCAAATTTGGAAATATGTAGTCATGAGCAATGAAAGTGGGACACCTGATTTTTCCTATTGTAAAACGATCTCACCAGCTATACCTACGGCAATGACAGGGATTGTCATACTTGCCAAAAAATTCATTGTAGAGAAAAGACTGATTTACCCAAAATAGCAAAAAAATCGCAATACCTGTCAGTCCGGTGTCCCACTTCTAATGCTCACGACTGTATAAATAATTATATAAAATAAAAAACAAAAAAGTACATAGATACAAACATACCTACAAAGATATGAGTCAAAGGTGTCGGTAAATTCACCTATAGACTGGGACATGATAACATACAAAATTATAAGTGTTCCGGAACATTATGTATTTGGGATAAATTTACTTTCTTCATCATTGATACAAATATCGGATGCTCCACTGTCTCCTGATTGGCCATATTCTGGTGGTGATTATAAGCAAGTGCCTATGCTCACCACTAAAATCTGCGTTACCAGAAGCTTTTTATAATCTCAAGTCACTGAGGTAAACAAGTTTCAATATTTTACTAATTCGCTAGTTAAATTAAAGATGTTTTACTAAAACGCTGCTCTTTGGACATTTAAAGAAAAAAAAACGTGTAATCATACAACACGCTACTGAAGTGGAACTTCTTCAAACACACAAACATACCAGAAAAGGGGTTAAGGAATTGGTTTAATGGTAGGTTGAATTACGCGCTCATGGCTCAAGCGATCCCCACTACTCACTCGACTTCGTGGCAGTAGAGGGGATTCCTAGCGTTGTATGTTTTCGTCACATAACAACTACCATGAAACGAACTTAGTCTACCATATGAAAAGAAGTTTCACTTCAAAAAAAATACATTCTCTTATTGGTTTAATTATGTGCAGAATTATCTTTAGGCATCTGGAGATACTATACTTATTGTAAAATTTGAACAAATTTAAAAGCAAGCCTTATAATAAATACATTAAAAGTAAGAAAACACATGTTTATTTTTAATTAATGTGTGTTAAGGGTGTGTATTTCAAGGCCTGATGATGCTCTATTGAGCGAAACACGTGTATAATCAAATAAATTATGAGACTGTGACTTTGTTTTTGTTATCTTCAAAAAACATTAAAAGTAGCTGCAAAAATTCCATAATATTATTAATGAATTATTGTTGATGAATCTTTCATAAATATGTTTAAAAACACAAAGTTTATAAAAAATCGAAGAGTCCCGAGTGTCAAGTGTTAAGTTAAATCGGTATTCAATATCAAGCTTTTCGATTTTGTATAATTTTGGAAGTTTAATTAAATATTGTCACAAACTTCTTGTGACAGGGGACGTAGGGTGGATGGATGGAGAAACTCGCTCGGGTTTATATAAAAATATGTATATTCATCATCACCACCATATTGTTCATCATCAATCAAGCATTATTAATAAAACCATTTTTGAGACAACAAATCATCAATCTATAAAAATTGTATCTTCGGATAAAGCAGATTCCAGACAACTAAGAAGACCAACTATATTACAAAACTCCATAAGTTCAATTAGTGCAACACCAAGAATATGGTTAACTGTCAAAGAGATTGTGAATAGATATTGTAACCAAACCCAACCCTTGCTATTTGAAATGCTTTATCCAAAGTCGTTGCTGCAAGGTTCCAAAAAAATTGGTGAAGGTGTTTACAATGAAGTGTTCCTATGTTCCAAAGAAGACGGAAAAATGACAGTGATGAAAATCATACCCAATGAAGGCGACAAGATCATCAATGACGAAAAGCAGAAAATGTTCACTCGTGTTGAAACTGAGAACAAACCGACTCCCTACACGTTATTTATAGATAACATTGTTTCGAGATTTTCCTAGAAAGAACTTGTTTTACTCAAATACATACAATAGAATTCCCCGAATAATCGCGCTAGACGTAAAGAACTGGATTTGTAGAATCTGGCCATGCTCTTGAGTCTTGAAACAATTCCATAACAGATTTAGTTTTGTCAGTTAATTAATTTTCCAAAATTATCCAAAATCTGAAAAATAAAACTAAGTCTGGCTAATGAAAATATCTTGATATGAAATACCGCTATTGTTATTGTTTGTAAAATTATTTTTAGGGTACACGGAATTCATGACAATACATGAAGGTATGTGATAGAGATTAACTAACCAACATTTCAATGAAATAGTGTTAAATTTAATTTTGATCCGCTTGTTGCCTATAGCATCTGAAGCATGTCCCATGTGACTAGGAACTTCTGAGCATGTCTAGAAACATTCCATTAGTATTTCAATTTTGTTTCTTCTTCAAACCTCATTTTACTGTGTACTTACTATACTTACACATAACAAAAAAAGCTTTGCACCATCTTGTAATGTAACTACAGAATACTCATCGACAAATAAAAATATTGTTATCTTCGACCATGGAATGAGTCCAGTACATTTACTAAAAAAGGTTTAGAAATCTGAAACTGTTCACGATTTTTTTATTGATAATTTTTTAATTTAGACATCGCTGAATATATAAAATGAGATGGTGCAAAACTTTTTTTGTTGTGTATATTTAGAATAACATTATAATCTTGACTCTGTTTTACATTTGATTTTTAAATGTATTTATAAAGGTTTAACTATTGATTTGCTCATTGTGAAGCCTCTAAATAACTAAAGGAATGATTTATTTGTATAAATAAAACATAAAATTTAATTTCTCTAAATGTCCAAAAAACTATAACTAGCATTATTCTAAACGACATACACTTGAATTTCATTCATACACCATTCCAAAAACAAAATTATAAGTCTGTGTATTATGCTTCTGATTCACCTGAGGCACTGTCTTCCTCCAGAATAGGTACAATTAAATTGTCCTTGGACATCAAATTGTATTTAGTAACAAAATGAGTGAATCTTTTGCATAAACAAGTTTCAGTTTCAAATTCGTCAAAAATTTGTCGATGATGGAAATAGGCATGGGAGAAAATTCGATATACTCGCCGACAAACTGAACCCAACTTAGCTACTGAAGATTCCTTAATGCTGACTCTGAAATCAGCAACTTTAATGTAGTTTTCCTATTTATAATAAAATTAACCCTGACTTACCTACTAGGAAAATATTTGTTGCTATTTAACAAGCACGCTGCACCATCTAAGGTGTGTCTGGTGTAGTCTATGGCTGGACATTCTTTGGGTGTCTTGTGAGCAGCGCATAGGAATATCCACTGTTCAGTGGCTGTCATTTGAGTGCAAGTTTCTGGATGGCATTCGCCCTGTAGCCTCACTGCTAAGCCGTTCAGTTCCATACAAAACTGTCTGGATTAAGAACATTTTGAATCAGTTTATAAATTCAAAAACAATTTTACATTCACAAGACGACAATCAAGTAAGGAAATAAGTTAATGGCTGAAGAATGAAACTTCTCAGGAAGATATTGATGAAATTTAAAATAGGTACTAATTGTGTAGGAGTTAAGAAAATTAAGTACATATGAATTTGGGTTCTCAAAATTGATAATTATTACTATATACATCCTTCAAATTATTGATAACATGAAGAAACGTAAATTTTCTATGGATAGTATTGTAGACAAATATACGAAAATATAGGAAAGTATAGTGAAGTTAATAAATCTAAGAAAAAGTTTGCAAAAAGCATATACAGAAAAAAAGTTCACAGAAGCAGAAGGAAACAGTAGGGAAACATGGGGCGTAATAAATAACATTCATAGAAGGAAAAATATTAACAAACAAAAAATATAATAAGCTGAAACAAACAAACTCTAGTAAATCATATATGTACTTATAAAAAGAATATTAATTTAGCAACTACATTTAAGTGCATAGAAATCGGCCCACTGCTAACTTTTGACTGCAACTATTTTTTTTTGAGGAAGAGGTATCTAAAAATGTTTCTTAATCCAAAATATTTGGAAAAAGAAGGCAAAATTGACCAGAAGGTAGGAGTAGATAGGTAGGAGTAGATTTAGTTCTAAAAATTATGACTTGCCAGTTTAGATAAAATAGGAACAAGAAGGAGTAGGATATTAGGCATGAAATTTATAATATGAATATTATGAAAGAACAAAGGAATTTGTTACGCTAGATACTTTGCAGCACCATCTAGAAGAAAAGGAGACATGCCATATAGGAAAAACAAGTTTGAGAAAAAAGTACTGTCACAGTTAGGTTTTAGAGATATAAAAAAAATTAGGTATGTGAGCCATAGCATGCTGTTAGTGAAAGATGGGCCTTCCTAAGAAACTACTTGAGATGTTGTGTTATTGGATGAGAAATGGATATTCGCAAAAGGATTAAAAGGCAGCCACGAAAAAAGAGCATGGCAGGATGAAACCAAATACCTAGGTATTTGTTATAACAGGCAATAAAAATAAACTTATACCTGAGGCAAGTTTTATATTTTCTGCAGTTTTAAATTCGGACGACTACCATAGTAGCATGAAGTGAGTTGAAGAGTGGTTTGAAGAAAGTCTTCTGAAAAAACATGAAGAGAAGAGCGAAGAACCCTCTTTTATAATTAGTTAATGCCTCTTATTTTATCACAGCAGACAACTCCAAACTCCTCTTCCACAAAACAACAAGTTAAAGCAGTGGTTAAATATTCTTGAAATATTGAACGAGAGACACAAACAAAACACTAGAGGTGGGTAGGATTTCCATAAAGGTTTTTCGGAATTCAGGACAAAGGAGCTAGGAGAAAATCCGGACTTCGCCGAAATAGCTATTTATGCAACAAGTGTGTAAAGTAAACCTTTTTTCATGAATGTGAATTTTGTCAATTAGTCAGTCAAAATTCACATTCGTGACAAAAGGTTCACTTTACACTCATATTGCATGCAAGTTTTTTTCTACTACCTACCAATAAAATTTGTGTAAAAAAATAGATTAGGAAAAAATGACAGTGTCGACATATGTCATTGACATTACTTCACGCACTACTGGTAAAGTGAATGACTTTACGTACTAGCACGTGAAGTGGAATTTTACGTCTATTGAATAGTGCGTAAAGTGAGTACTTTACGCGCGGTAGTAGAAAAAATAATTTGAAATTTTTATAAAGGATGAATTTTCTTTTTTTTTTGCAAAAATTCATTTTTACAGAAATTAATAAATCACCTTTAACAAAGTTATAGGTTGTTTTCACGATCTCCGAGTTTTCCAGACATTATTCCGAATTCCGGCCGGACTTCCCCGGACACCCTAAAAACCCAAACATGTCCAGGTAAATCCGGACTTATGGAAACCCTAGAGGTGGGTAAAAACTAAAAAGTCATTCTGGAAAAAATTCAATTAAAATAGTCATAAGTAGAAGGAGCAGTAGTAGAAGGTATACTAGTAACTGATGGATAAAACAGTGGCCATAGTTTAGATCAAACCTTGGATCAAACTAGCTTTAAAAATAAACCCAACATATTTCTTACCTTAAATGTTCATATTTCCAAACGCCTTCATCATGACTGTCCGGAATTCTTAATATCAAGTCAATATTAGATGGATCCCTCCTGATAAGTTGTTGAATGTATTGTTGTACTGCCAAAGTGCTGTCCATTTCCTCAAACGGTTCATCTGGCCACCGACAAAAGTCCTATGGAAAACAAAAAATTAATTTTTTGAATAAAAAAAAAAGTTGAAGCAGGGAAAAATGTACTGGTTGGTATTTTTCAGGGAAGGGTTGTCAATTTATTAATAGGCATATATGGAAATAAATACCTTTGCCTTAGTTCCTGGGCGATTTCTTCTCAGAATGGTGGCTCCCTCCGCCATCTTCATTCTTAATTTTTGGATAAAAGGGTAATTGTCGGGGAACACCACAGCTCTCACTACTCTTCTTCCTCTACTCTCTTCCAAGGGTCAAGTCAAGACAAAAAGGGAAAGGAGAAAGCCCTTAGCTTAGCGTTAGCTTACTGAAACACTGGACGCTTGCTTGAACAGGTGACACTGACATTGACATTTATTAAATATGAACGAGAAAACAATAGAGGTGGGTTGCGATTTCACGAACTGTGACTTTGTCACTGCTACTTGTCTGTCACAGTCACAGCCTGCTCCAGTCCCAGTCAAGTAGCAGTGACATTTTGTCACTGCCCGCTTAAAGCTCCGACCGATGCAGCGCGGACAAAACTGGAGCTGTGATGCAAATTGAATAATATAATGTTATAAATCGCATCGCGGTCACGCTAAATAGAAACTGTTACTGCAGAGGGCAGGCTAGAAACTGGAACATCTCTCCCGGCCGTGACTGCGGACTGCGATTATGCCATATTGCGATGTAGCATTAACATAATATTAGCAGTACGGCCGCCAACTAAGGTAAAACTGCTCCAAAAAATCACTGCTATTTGTCACAGTGACACGACTGGAGCAGTCACGTCTTGTCACTGCTCCATTAAAATCGCAGGTTGGCCCACCTCTAGAAAACAAAAAGGGCGCTTTCTTCAGCGGATCAGTACTAATCAGCTTTTCTTTGTCTAGCTCATAGAAAATAGGAATGTCTGACTTATAATGCTGGCAGCAGATGGATCCATTGCTGAATAAAAGAACGCGCCCAAAGCAAAACGCGAAGAACTAAAGGCCGGTGTACACTTTGATTAGTAGCAAATAGGTGTGTAGTGCAGGGTTGCCAGACGTCCCGATTTAGGTGGGACAGTCCCGATTTTCTGAGATAATTAAGAACCTAACTAATTTGCGCGTACGATTTGTCACAACTAAGTTAGAATCTGCCCCTCCCCTCTTACCCCTGCTAAGACACCCGGATTTTTAACTGAGATAACTTAGCTGACCTAAGTTGGCGCGAAGTACGCATTTTTTGAATTATTGACGTTTAATAATTTCTAAATTGAGGTTATATTTCTTTATTTTTGTTTTGTTGAAAGTTGGTCGTTGGAACAGAAACTTTGAAAAGGTGATGTGAGATCTCATGTTTTCATTGTCCATCTCATGCTCTCATGCTTCCAAGTAAAAAGCTCATGATTTTTTATCTCATGGTTTGATATTTAAATAATGATGGTTTTTTGCATTTTGTCGTGAATATTTCTGGTTATCAGTTTCAAAACTTAAAAGAGGTGATGTTAAATTTATGTAGTTTAAACCACACTCAAGTGCTACATGTGAGAGGATTTTTTCACAAAGTCCAAAAACCACCTAAACCCAAAGTACCAGATATCGGTACCGCTGGTATTTCAAGAACGAAACAATATATTGGGTCCAATAACTGTACCAAAATTTAACATTGATAACACATTTATAAGAAAAAAACCACTATATACAGCACCAATGTAGTGGAAAAGTATAGACATTTACTTAAAAATCTTTAATCAAATAGAATGTAGCTGTGATTGAAGAAAACACAAATGTTCCTTCTGTCTTCTGTATTCTGTACTAAGATAGGTTCCCTTTTTTGTGATGTGATGTATTTTCGTCAATAGTTTGTTTCATTTTGATTTTTTTTTTTTTTCTTACCGAAGATGGTATGAAACAAGATCACGAGTTTTAAACAACTGTTTTTATTTATTTTTCAATGGCCCCTCATGTTTTCAGCTATTTTAAAAATCTCATGTTTTCTCATGTTTTTAATGACTCAAATTTCATGCTATAGAAGTTTTAGGCCTGGCAACACTGAAAAGGTGTTCAGTTTAATGAAATTAATTATTCATTATTGCTATTGCACAAAATGGAATATGAAACTTTCAAAGTCAGTTTCAAATTTAACGACGAGGAAATAATAAGTTTAAATATACCAGTCGATGGAACAGATCACATACCTATACAAAATAACGAGATATGAATTGCGCGTACGATAAAACAACTTAGCTCAGCTAAGAAACTAACTTTAACTTAAATAAGAAAAGTGCTTGATCGTAAGCAGCTTTAACCGTCCCGATTCACGAATTGAATGCGAAAGCGAAATGTTCCGATTTTTGAAACAAACAAAGTGCCGACTATGAAATGATGTTCTTTTTCTTTCTAGACCATAATATTATTATATTATATCTTCTCTTTCTAGTAATGACAGCGGAGCGGGGTTC